ACGACGCACGACGCACGACGCACGACGGACGACGCACGACGGACGACGCACGACGGACGACGCACGACGACGACGACGACGACGACGCAGGACGACGACGACGACCACGACCTGGTAATGCCAGGTAATGCGCTTTGTAATGCCATAAAACAAAGCACGCTCGTAATATCCTGGTAATGCCAGGTGATGCGTTCATCTTGGAAGTGAAGTAAAAGTCCTGTTTAATATTTTAGCTTTGTAATGCCACAAAACAAAGCACGATTGAAAACAATGAAAGCATGCAATGAAAGCATGCAGCAACATGGCAAATGATCAACACCTGAACTCAACGGTTCAAGCGGTCAACAATGCTTCGACATTTTCGGCCACCCAGCACCCTAAATTTTCCGGGAATTTAGGGAGCTGGGCCGTGGCTTCTGAACATGATCAAGCTGCATCCGTTTCCTAAATTTCCTGAAAATTTTGGGTGTGTAAATTTTCGGAAAATTTAGGAAAGCGATGAAGCAAATTTTCCGGAAATTTAGGGACCGAGGCTTCGGGCTACCCGGAACCAGAAATTTTCCAGAAATTTAGGGGAGCGAATCCGGCTTGCGGCCGTCGAAGAGGCCCAGCCTTTCAAAGGGCACAGCCCAAGCCCCAAAATTTCCCGGAAATTTTGGGTCCCGGGTAGGCCAAAGCGGCTTGCTCGCCGGGGTCCAGAAATTTCCGGAAAATTTTGGGGCTGGGGCACTCCGAGGCGTGACGCACCGCATAGGGCTGGTTTGACCGTAGCGTTTTATAGAGTAGATTTCGAATTATGATATAAGAATCTTCTAATCCCAAAAATATCTCAATTCCATAAGATTATAGATCGTAAATCTTAGGCCATAATTCTCTCATTCATTTAAATTCTTTTTGAAACCGGAATATATGAAAAAAATGAATTAGATAGATAGATAATTAGATTATATGAAGATCGTATCGATTACGCTTGCGCGTCAATCCCTTAGATACCTATATAGAGATCCCGAAGATATTTAGATTTTTGTTATCCATATATCTTCAAGACAAGAATCTTAATATAATAATATCTTCAAATCTTTAATATTCCTCTCAATAGACAGATATATCATCGATAAATTTCCTCTTTCTTTTCTCAAATCAAATGAAATAATTCCCAACAGAAGATCATTATTATTAAATATCATATTCGAAGATTTCATTTTATTTGAAAGAATAATAATGAAAAAATCATATTGAGAGATTATCTCAGATACATATTTCATTATTTAATATATAATATATTTGAAGAGACAAAAATTTCCTTCTTTATTCATCCATCCGATATTCCTATATGTGTGATTTTTTCATATTTGAAATTATAAATTATTTATTCAATTGAAAATATAATCTATGAATAATCGAAATTTTATTATATGATTTAAAAATGATTTTTTAAATGCAGATTATTTCATTCAATTCGTCAAAAAAAAATTTCAATAATCGATAAAAAGAAAACCATTAGTTTAATATCATAATATTTGAATACTTCCTGAAAGTATCTATGAAATCTTAAATCAATCCATTCTTTCTTCTATATATAAAATATTTCGGTAAGTCAAGATTTCTCATCAAATAATAAAGAAATCTTAAATTAAGAATTGTGAATTTGAGAAATAATATCATATTAATGAATTATTAATCTGATTTTTTCTATCAAATTTATTCTTTGAATACGAATCATCAATGAGATAGAATGTGTCTTCAAATATCATCAAATTCATCCTAATCTTCATAGAAATCTATTCAATAAATCATTTTATCATCAATAAATCATTAAATAGGGAATAATATCGTAAATCCAAATATCTTCAATAGATTTCATCCTTCCCAAATTCTCCAATTTATGAAGTATTATATATATATATAAATATATATATATATATCTTAATTATAACTCTTGAATATTCTTCCCATCTCCGATACTATATAAATTTATCCTTTCTTTTAATCCGTATGAGAATTAAAATGTTGGATCCTCTTGAGCCTTTCGAGATTGAAGCATATCGAATTCTTCATTCATTTTCTAAGGTTGGGATGAATCGAAGAAATTATTCGAGGGATCGTCTTCGTATTTCGTCCAATGCCGATTTGTCGGAATATTGAACGTATCTCTTATCCGAATAATGGCATCCTAATGTCTGGAATCAACCAAGGTTGTCGATGCCGAAGCTGACCATGTCTAGAACAAATCTATAGTCTCTAGTTCTTGAATCTCCAGTTCTTGAGTGATACAATTGACTTCTGCATTCTGCAATTTTTGAGTTTCTGTGAGGCTCTGTAAGGGAGCTGAGGCAAGCCCCTCTTAGACAGCTTCTTTTTGCTCGGTTCAGTACGCCCAGTGCTCATGAAACATCTCTGTACAGAATCCTGAAGCCATCGTATTGACCTGGAACAGGCAATGCATCGGCAAACTGTTACTCTCAGGTCAGGTAAACTCTGTAGGGCTGTTTTTCAGCTCAGCGTGGCAAGGGGTGTACTGAATTCTTCTTGATGGCTTCGAAGGCAATGCAAGCAGTGCTGGAGGCTCACGCATCGTTGAAGCCTGCACTTTTACTGAACATGAGCTCAGTGCATGTTGAGGTGAAAAAAGTTGCGGCATGTCGCTCCTCATGGCTGGCAATCATTCGCTCAGCCAGTTCTTGATACTTGAAACCAGCATCATCTGAAAATCTTCATGGGGTCCTGAGCTTCGCTGAATCGACCCGATCGTCAGGACATGCTGGGCAGGCATCCTACTTGCCAGGCCAGACGCATGCGTCTAGTCACGGCGAGGGATCTTCACCAAAGAGCAGCTTGTAGTCCTAACAGCACCGCCATTGCTCGAAAAACACAACTGCAAGACAGCACGCAGACCAACTGCTCCTCCATGCTTTCCAAAGTGTGCTTGGGCCTCAACTCAAGTTATGTTTGCACTTCATCATACTGTGGACTTTCAATTCTGGACACTGTTGCTCTGCTGGGTCTTCTGCAAGAACTTCTTGAGCTCCTGTCCGTGTTCTCGAAGAAGCCTGACAGCTCCAGCGTGGCGCTCTGAGTGCTCTGCAAGACTCTTGACTTGACACTGCCACTGCCTCCTGCGCTCATCCTCGATGATGAGGCGCCGCTTGTCCTCATCCTTGCGAAGCGCATCTTGCTCTTCACGCTCTTGAGCCCGGGCAAGCTCATACCTGGCAAGGCTTCCACCTTTTCTGTGATGACCCTAGTCGAGGCCCTTCTCTGTATGTGATTGCATGTGACAACAAACCCTGGAGCACATCTCGCGCCGAAGTTCCACCAGCCGCTCTGCCTCTCGCTTGTGCTGTTCGACCTGTCGTTGTGCAGCTTGACGCAGGACAAGGTGAAGCGAGAAAGGATTTCTTGATCGCCCAATATTGCCGCAACAGCAGAGACCAAAGATCTCCCTCCTCATCCTCGACATCCTAGCTCCTTTAGATTCTAGACGTGTTGCCCACTGCGTTTACGGCCTTCATTCGCCGCTTGTGCTCATTGAGCTGCTCCAGGCGATCATCTTCGGCAAACTTCTTTAGCAGCTCCTCACGCATCCTGGCCTCGATAGAAGACACGCAAGGCACTGCAGCTGTAAGGGTAAAGATGCACAAAGATGCTTTGCAGTATGAGACATGCACCTCCTCCTCGCGAGCATGATACATCTTTTCTTCTTTCGCCCGCATCTGGACAAGATAGGCGTTCTTCATCTCCTGCTACAAGCGGACGGAAAGAAAAGCACACTGACAGATCGGCAGGAATAGTCATCCACAACTATCGCAAATGATCGGTTTCCTCTTTGTCTTCTAGCTTCTTGCGCATCCTCACACAGACAACATCTTCGAGGCTTTCGAAGTATGACCGGACAGCTTGCACCAGATTCAGATGCCGCCAAGGTGCTGCATCTCTTCGCGCCTGCGTGATTCGGCTTCAAGCTCTTCTAAGTGCAAGTCGTTGCGGAGCAGCTCCAGCTCCTCCCAAGCACCCAATGTGGCCCAATGTTTGCAACAGTTCTAAACTTTCCCAATGTCAATGTGTCCATATGTGTGTGTGTGTGTGTGCACAGTGCGCATCTGGCAGGTGTTGGCATGCCTAGACGTGATCCTGTGCTGGTGCGTCATGGTGTCGTGCAGTGCACAGGATACAAAACGGAGAAATGCGGGAAGCACTCAGCGACTGCTCACGGCTCCTCTGCCTCTTTGTTCTTGGCCTGCAGGCTTGGAAGCTTAAAAAGCAGAGAACGTACGTGCGCGCCACAGCGTGGCAGCGGACAGAATTTCACGGTTGCTGTATTTTATGTGCCTCCATTTGGCCAAGCATGGCATTGAGAATGCGGAGCTTCTCCTGCAGGTGAGTTGGCAAATCATATGAGCATTTGGCATGACGAGCCGAGGCGGAAGGGGGATCAAGCCATCTGGTCCTTCTCCTTCTCCTGTCGCTCCTGCTCCAGCCGTTCCTCAACTGTTGAAGGTTGAAAGCCTATCTTATTCTAGCGACCTATCTTATTCTAGCGACTCTATCATGTATAAGCGATGCAGCTTGCACAGGTGCCTCCCGTTCTCGCTTGTCCCGCGCAAATTGCTCGATTCGTTCATTCTCGGCTTTCTCCTCGGCCTCCAACTTCTCCTGATTTGCCTTCCTTGTGCTTCATCAAGACAAAGCAGCGCAAGGGACGGGAGATAATCAGCCAGTCTGTCCTACAAGTCAGTTTGCAGTGCGTTCCAAGGTGCTGCTCCACCATAAACTGTTGCAGCATGATCCGTGACCTTCGATCACATGCTGCAGGGGCTCGCTGAAGCAACAAGCGAACCACCTCCCGACTGACGCGGTACATGGTGTTGAACAAGCTACTCCATCTGCTTCTCAGCACGTGCTCTCGCTTCATTGGCATCTTCGTCTGCAATTTTGGCCACCAGCTCTTCTACCTGGTTGCGTTCCTTCAGTGGTGACTTGACACCACGGCCACTTCGCACGATATGCACTGAGGGAAGATTGCCCATGAGCATCTTCAAGTCCTTGATGTACTCTTGCAGAGCCTCCTCTCTTTGGGCCTGTGTCAAAGCATGTCAAAGCTCAAGCCACAGCAAAGTAGCCTGGATGTTAGGACGCACATGTGGGCAGCTCGCCTCCTTCATGGCAATCTGCTGCTGGTTGATTACCTTGACGCGCTCTCGCTGCCTCTTCTTCTCAATGTCCAGCTTGTGCTCTAGCTCCTTGTGCTTCTTTCGGTCACGACTCCGCTGTTCAGCACGAATTTGGGAATTTGATCCATTTTGGCCCTCTGACCCCTCTGACCCCCCATTGTTCAGCACGAATTTGGGAATTTGATTCATTTTGGCCCTTCTGACCCCTCTGACCCCCCATTGTTCAGCACGAATTTGGGAAGTTGATCCATTTGGGCCCCTCTGACCCCTCTGACCCCCCATTGTTCAGCACGAATTTGGGAATTTGATCCATTTGGGCCCTTCTGACCCCTCTGACCCCCCAATGTTCAACACGAATTTGTGAATTTGATCTATTTTGGCCCATCTGATCTTCAGGGGGCAAAAGCTCTTTCGAAGGCCTGGGGGCTTCGTGGGGGGTACCCCAGGATTTGGGAAAAAGTGCTCGATTCCCAGTAAGTTTAAAAAATTTGTATAGCAGAAATGACCCCCTCATTTTCCAGATTTCTCTGGCCCTCTCAATTCTGGCCTTCTGACCCCCTTTGACCCCCCATTGTTCAGCACGAATTTGGGAATTTGATCCATTCTGGCCCCTCTGACTCTGACCCCCCATTGCTCAGCACGAATTAGGGAATTTGTTCCCTTTTGGCCCCTCTGACCCCTCTGACCCCCCATTGTTCATGTCATGACTCATGACACGCGCATGTCTGCCGGAAGAACCGGTTCCGGCAGCCGAACGTCCTGCTGCTCCAACCTCTCATTCTCCATGTGCTCGGCCAGCAAGTGGCCAGTGATACGGTCCTTCTCTTTCCGCACCTTTCCCGCCGGGCTAGCCAACTGAAGCTAGCAAATCAGCGATATTACTGCGCTCCAGTTAGACATCGGAGCTATTAACGCCTCGATCTCGAGGAGCTGCTGGGCACGCTCCTGACCGTGAGAACACATGTCACAGAAAACAGCGTCCGCATGCGGCCCCCAAAAAGAAAACGTCAAAACAAACTTCCCTCCCTCCCCTCTCTCCTTGTTGACTTTGGCCATGTGGAGCCTTTCTTTCAGCGCCCGCAACTCTTCAGAGCCATCGCAGATGCGTCGACGATCCATACTTGGTCAGTGCACGCAGGTCACAGTGACAGCTAATCAGTGCCAGCAACTGCTAGGCTGCTAGTCATACGGAGGAGGAGCCACGACCTGGTTCAACAATCGCTCGATGCAGCTGTGTTTCTCATGGCGCATTTGCTCGGCCTTTCGTTTCGCCAGTTCGTCTGCAAGCCTGAAATTTCCGACGATACGTCAGAGCAATTGAACTTATTCAAGAAGTTGCTCCCAACTGCATCCATGCAGCTGCTCTTCAAATTGTGCTATCTGCACTCTCTTTGTTTTGTCTTGCTCGCTCTTGACAAAGCCTTAGTTGCAGAAATTCCATGCAATGCTCACCTACCACAAGCCCACATGACAAACATGTGCTTGCAAATGCTTGCCGGGGTTCTGTAATCCATGAAAAGCTCACGGCGTTCAGCCGCCTCTGACAAAGCTCTGCGCTTCTTTTCAACGTTGAGCTCGCTCTTCCCGTAGCCTGTAGGCATTGCATGCTGCATCCTAGCCCCCTACGGACCCATCCCACGTCATTACCACAATACAAAGCGGCCAAGGCGGGCAAGGCCTGCATAGATGTTGTTCTCCATCAGGCGCCGGCGGAGCTCTAAGTTCTTTGCTTCTTGTTCCCGCCTGACTCTTCCGGGGTTTTTGATGGCGGAGCACTGCGAAGCGAGTTGAGCTTTGCCACAGAGTTCTTATGCGTGCCAACAAACCTGGAACCAGCAGGATGTCTCACAGCAGAAAACAGAAACGAGAAAACATGAGAAACCTGTCGGGGCCTTTTGACGACGCGCTGCTCCACGAAGCGCTTGGTGCTGGACATGGCGTCTTTTTGCTGGGCCAGGTCGCTATTGTCCAACAATTTCAGCCAGTTCCAGCTCTTTCCACGATATTGTGTGAATGTGTGTGATCTTTCATGCTCCCCTTGAGCCTTCCAACCTGCGATGCTGAAGCTGCAAATGTGCTGCGAGCGCAGCTCCGGCTAAAGGGCACTCCGCAGGCAAAAAACCCAAGTGTCTGCGATCTCGCCTTATCGACAGCTCGCCACGGGAGTGTGCATAGTGCGCCCTCTAGCGTAGGCCCTTGTGCACCTGCAATTGCACGTTAAATACGTTAGTCGATACCCGTCAAGGATCAGGCATGGCCGCGCGGGACTCGGCTTGGATGGACTAAATAACTGCAGAGGCCCGGGCTCCGTAGAGGAGGGGGCTCCCTTGTTTTATGAGATCCTGCATTGCATTGCGTTCCCTCCCGGCACGTCCACTAGAGGGCCGCCGTTTTTTGCAGGACCGCGTTTTGACCCCAGACCGTCAACCCTCAAGAACCCTAACGCCCTAAGCCCTACACAACCCTCAACCTATCGCACAACCCTGAAAGCCCCAACACCCTGAAAAACGACACACCCCGTCCAACCCTAAACACCCCAAACAACCTAAACCTAAACCCTACTTGCAGCAACTCCGAAACTCAAAAACGCCCTGGGCCCTGACTACCGGTACCCCACAACCCGCACCCACAACCCTGTACGCCGTTCTTCCATCAATATTCTGCGGAAGTCATCCATGAAGCGTCCCAAACGAGTCAACCCCTCCACTCCGCACCATCCCCCCCGAGACAAATCACCCAAATAGTCTCGGACGAGTCACTCCCCCACGCCCCACTGACAGCGCTATCTGGCTGTGTTATTCCTCATAAAACTACTGTACGGATGTGCTTTCCCTGAGGCACAAGGGAAAGAACCACATCACGATTGCAAGTTTAATTCCGCAAGCAACATGGTTGAAGACATGAGGAAACGCCCATACACTCATGCATCGATGAAGAGTTATAAGCTTTCACGTATCACGCTGCTAAAGCCCAAAGCGATTGTATGAGAATGAAGCTGGAAGCTGAGCAATGGTTGCTTGCTGCATACAGACATGAATTACATTCGAACTTGCTTGGCTCCAAGCCAGTTGCTGCGTTGGGGTCTTCATACCCGTTCCTCATGGGGCCCTGAAAACAGTAAGAAGCCGCTCTTTTTCACTGCGTACGGTAACCGTATGGATTGGAAACCTTTGGATTGGAAGGAAGTCTCCAGCTTTTTTCACGTCGCAGCAGCTCGCAGGTCAAAGCCGCTCTGTCACATCACCCTTATTGGACACATCCAGCGTGTAGGACCAGTGCAAAGACCGTCCTGGAAACTGAACCATTCTGGTTTTGGAGCTCCGCCACGGCATGTGTTGCAACGATGATGAGCTCAAGCCTTCTGCTAAACGAAGTGAATCTAGTATAATCTTCCGATCGTTGCAGAGCCACGATCGGATTTCCCCTTCGTGATCTGCAGCGTCACGAGCATCATCATAGCTGCTGCCAAAAACAATGGCCACTTCTGCCAGCGGTTCTTCCTGTCCATCGTCGAAGCTGTCGATCACACTGAGCAGCGTAGCCTGCTTAATGGCATCGGCTCGGTCAGCCACCACAAAAACGTCCAGCGATCCTGCTTCATTCAGCTCGAACTCTCTTTGCTGCTTCACGGCTTCCAAGATATCCTCAAGAATCTGCATGGGCGGCTCTCCTCGTGGACTTGCGGATGTGAGAACGACCCTGTCGCAGCTTGCAAGGGCCCATCCAAATTTGGCCCTCTCGCCTCGAGACACTTCGCCATCACAGCCAAACACTGCAGTCACCTTTGGACTGCGCGCCTGGTGGGACAAGGATGACTTGATGACCTGCAGAGCTTGCTTGACATCCAGAGGCGATGGGGCCTCATGTAGTATGACTGCACTCGAGGGCTTTTGCTCAGACGCAAAAATCTCAAAGGTTCCTGGGGGTGGGCTCATGGTCTCAAGTTCGGCAGCCAAGCTTTCAATATTTGCGTCCTGGTCCTGCAAGATGACATCGGCAGCACCAAGAGCCGCCACAACAGCTTTGCTGGCTTCTTTCAACAACTTCAAAGTCACGAAAGACTCTTTCGTCCCACCACGCATGCCCAGACCACTGAGTTGCAACTCAAGCCTCACACCGCGAACGGGGCCGATTCGGCCACAAAGGCAAGTCGAAGTGCCTCTTGATTCTCTGGATGCAGATTCTAAGCCTTCTAAGCTCTTGCTTTCAATCGCCTCGGATTCTGGAAGATGCTCCGCCAACAGCTGAACAAGATCCGCTTTTCGGGCTGATTCTGGGAACCCCTCAATGCCAAGATCAGCAAGCTTTTGAACAATCTGAGGTTTAGTGAGCTTGCTCAACTCCGACTCCTTGGTCACTTCAGCTGGAAGCTCTTCCAGGGCATATGTAACAAAAGAACCTCTTTCCCCCATCTGGCTTGCACACCCCTCTGGGCAAACCACTACTTCTGAGGTTTGCAGGCATCGCTGGCGAAGCAACGCCGCATGTGACACTGCATTTGGAGCATCACCCAGATCCATCACGACATCGAAGACAACTCCTTCAAAAGTAGCGGAGCCGGGAAGAACCTCAACAACACAAGCCTCGACACCTGTGGCCGCCATGTCTGCTAGGAGTTCATGAAGCATGCAGTCCGTGAGCAGATGCCCAACGTCCTTGCTTTGAAAAGCCATCATGCAGCGACGGTCGCTTAACAGTCCCGTTTTAGCTGGGCCCTTTGAGGATTCCAGAAGCTTCAGGAGCAGCCACGCAGCAGTCCTCACATCATACTCTTCGCCACCTACGACGCCAATCAACTGCATGTTGGATTCACGGTAGCTAGCTGAGTAGAAAGCCTTGGCCAAGCAGGAAGCAGGAGATGATGATGAGTCCAGAACAACCAAGCTTTGCAGACCGGCGTCTGAAAATTGGTCGAAAAGCTGGCCAGCCTCGTTCATGCCTTCTTCAAGCTCAGTTGCAATGAGGCCAATGGCAGAAACACCTTGTGTCACGGCTTGTTGTACATCTTCTGCCAAGCTCTCTCTTGGGGTGCTCATCAGGAGCAAGTCTCCCTTCGTTGCAAGTGTGGCCACATCAACCACTCCGCTAATCGAAGCCTTTGTGTCACCAAATAGCCTGGAGGGACGGGTGGAAAATCAAAACGCGTATCAAAAGGGTCAAAAACGCATTTAAGCCCAAAAGATCAGGGGGGACCTTCCCTGATGGGAATGTCATGCTTTAAAGCAAGCATGCTGTGCTTACAAAAGAGTGGGGGCGTTGGGCAGGGACCCCCATCCCACCCCTGCCCTCACAAACACAATGCTCGATGAGGGATTTGGAAAGGGGTTGGGGGAGCGGAGGGGGGGGGGGGGGGGGTTGGCCATTTGCAAACACAATGCTCGCATGACAGGTTGGAAAGGATTCATATGGTTTTTAGGGAATGTCTTTCGGTCTGAATTTCTGCCGTTCTTTCTTTACTTTTCTATGAGAATCCTTATTCTGTCACTATGTTATATGTGCTTATCCTTCTGTCAGTATATGTCCTTGTTTTCGTTGTCTTTACTTCTTTCTTTCTTTGTTGCTTTCGCTCGTTCTTTCTTTGTTTTTCCCGGGCCCTGTTTAAACCAACTTACGTTTTGATACTTCCAAATTTGCTTTGGTCCCTCGTATTTGTCCACAACCCCTCTCCCGGCCTGGAGTCCGAGATGTCAGAGTATCCACAGGTATTGAGCAGGTTGTCCAGCAGGAGCAGCTGTGGGCTGCACGATTCCCGTGAGGCCGCCGAAGCAAACACATGGGCCTCGCCAGCGCCCAACGTGCCGCTTCCGGCGCTGCGCCGAATCTCAGAAATTGCCGCCGCCACCGGCACTCGCGCCATTAGGGCATTTTCACCGTTGTCAGTGATGCTTGGCAGCGGGAGGGTCACGGCAGGCTTGTCGTCTGCCCGGTGATTCAGCTGTTGCACGATGTCTTCTGGCAGTTCGGCCTCCTCATGGGAGCCTTGTTGCAGATCTTTGAAAAACTTCTCCAAAACAGAAGCTGAAGATGCAGGATCATCGAGGCTCTCTTCCAGGATACTCGCCACAAGGGCACTGGTCTCCTTGCCGCCCTCGCACAGCAGACTGCCATCGACCAACTCGGAAGAATCTGCAAGGCTCTCCAAGTCACTGAGTGCCGAGAGTCCACTTATGTTGGACTCCGTTGGAAAACTGCCTGCAGATGCCTGGCTGCAAACACGATCAAAGCTTCGAATCTGAGCTCCAATCATCTCGATATCCCGGGTGAAATCGGAATCCTCAGGTGGCTCCGGCTGCGCCTTTCTCGGCATTCCCAACCGCTTCCGGCTACAATTCATGGCGCCCCTCCGACCATGCAAGTAGAATACAACTCCGAGGCCACCGATGGTACGGATACATTGAGCTCGAATGTTGGAGTCACCTAAACCTGCGCAGGTTCGCCAACTCTTAATGAAAATGTGTGGGCAGTGCAGCGGCGGCTTGCTCCACTGAAGGCGGAGCTCTACCATGGCATGCAGCTTAGCCACCTGAAATATCTCCAAAAAGCATGTGGCAACGTCTAAAGATCCGACCGTGCAAGTCCGTTGGCTTACGTCCTCGTTCCAACAAGCATTGACCATGTGCACAGAAGCTGTGGGCAGCAAGAACTTTGACTGAAAGGCTACGCTGCCGTCGCAACTTTGCAAACATGCAAAATAGGGGCAAGCGCATCGTCGTGAAGCATCATGCTCTGTTCTTTTTCTGAAAGCCTGTTCTGAGAAGCCTACACTTTCATTCAGCCTTTTTCAGGCCCTTGAGACGAAAGCCTTTGAATCACAGATCTCGCAAGGCAATGGGTGCTGCACGTCTCAGTCACTGATTGAACATTTCCGGGCGCTTCTTCATCGCAGCCTTGCTCCCAGCAAAGTGACAATCGGAAAAACAGCCCTGGAAGTGGTTGAGGGACGGACAGCCGCATGAACCATGAAGCTACAAACATCTACAAACGTTGGAGAGACCTTCAACTTCTTTCAACCTGGGGAAGTGCATGGCATCGTCAGCGCTAGCGCTACGGGTGCAAAATGTTTAGAAGTGCAGGCTTGGCGGCCTAAGCTCGGATGGGTACTTCGAAGAGGTCAACGATTGCTATCACACAGCTTCTCGTTCGTCCTCTGCCTCTTTTCTGTTCATGCTGTGGTCCTTATGGGTCCTAATCGAGTGCGACCGCACACATTGTGGTTGCTGCTTGAATTAACCACAGCCTTACTCGAAAGGATGTTCACAACAGGATTTGGTTCATCCCCTTCAAGATCCCCTTCGACAGATGGGCGCATCGCAACACAACACAACACAACACAACACAACGCAACACAACACAACACAACACAACACTCGGGATTGGGTGCTGCCCTGCTGTGCCACTGACCCGCATGTTCTTCATCATGCCCCGCGAAACGCCATAGGATGCCCTGACGGGAGCATCAGAGAGGAAACTCAAGCGCTTGCTCTCAAGAAGCGAACAAAGGAAACTGAGTTTCCCACCCTTCAGGCTCTGGCCCTGGGGCTTCACCCTCCCAGAACGCCCTCAGAGAGAAAGGAGACGGAAGACGATAGCTTGCAAAGCAACTTGTAACTTGCCAAGCAACTTGCAAAAGGCTTCCCGATGCTCCCCAAGTTGCTCTTTAAAGGACGAGAGGGGTCGCTAAGGCAACAGCTCTGGATTCGATTGGATGGCAGTCAGCTGCTTGAGGGCGCGCCTGCCCAGAACAAAAAAAGAAATGAAACTAGACGAAATAAGGTTGCCGGCAAGGTTGGCGGCCTGGTAATCTCGTCATCTCTAGCCTCCGGAACCTTTCGCACAGCTCTCAAACCCCTGCCAGCGAGAAGGGAATGACCTAAATGTGTCCCGTGCAGCACCTTGAGGGCCTCGACGCTGCTCTCTGCACCACGCCTTGACGCAGGAAAGTCATGGAAAGTCTTACGGACATTGTCAGGCCCGTCGAGATGTGGGGATCGGACTTCTTGGCCGTCACGGCAGCCACATCCTCTTTCCTGAAGCGACTGTCATGTCGGCGATTCCCATATCAAAGACTGCAAGAACAACAAACCCACAGCAGACCGTCAATTTCGCTTTTTGCTGAACAGGTTGAACAAGCACTCGGTGAAAGTTTGCGACGTGCAAAATCTGCCCATCACGAGTCTCTTGCAACCTGTCACCACAAAGCTCATTCTCATCCGCATAGAAGAACTCCTCAGCTGTGTTCATTAGTTGATTAGTTGCGTGTGTCCGAGGCGAAAAACATTCAGGTGAACCCGGAAGATTGCAGAATTGAGCTCCAGCAAACACCACCCTGCCACTCCAACCGCCACAGCGGAAGAAAAGTTGAGCTACTTGGAACCCAGAAAACACAACATAGCCATTCAATAACCCACTCTCCTAGACGCTCAGCAAGGACTACAGCACATCATCGCCCTCTGAAGCTGGCAAAATCAATTTAAACATCATGCAAACTTGTGCGCAGCATGTGCATTTCGCGACGAAGTGCAACTATTCCACGGCAAGGAAGAGAAGGGGGAGGACATGGCCTCTGAGGTAAACGAGTGCGTCTTGTAAGCTGCTAACTGCAGTTCTGTGCAGCCCAACAACCGTGGCAATGTGTTTGTAACGCACTTCCTGTCTCATGCACAACTCTCCGGCAGAGAGGAGTACTCAAAAATCACAGACCTACTGTGATCATGTGGGTAAAGCTTCACACGGCGGAGCACTGCACTTAACTCGCCACGTGTTAGCTTAATTCAGCGAGGAGTCTAAGAATCGACGCTTGTCTTCCCCAGATGGTCCTCTTGGTGCTTTCATCCCCGGACGGTGGTTAGCCTCCACGAGCCACACGTGGAAATCGTGATCCAATGCAAAATCGAAACCGAAGCGCCGCCACGGTTGACGTCCTGGTTTAGATGCGGATGCCTCCTGTCTCGCACCTTCTGTCAAGCCTGATTTCAATGGCCCAATGCAGCCGATTATCCTTGAGATTGCATCACGGACTTGAGGCACAATGTCCTCCGCCCAAACATCGCGGCCAGACGTCTGTTGAAGGTACTCTCGGAACGTGTCGGTTGACCATATACGCTTTCGGATGTCTTCAGCAGTGTGTCCACGGAATGCAAGATTTGAAATGTGCGCCCCCTCTGCCTCATCACCAAAAGCTTCTGCAAAGGGGATCGGGCACAGATCAATGTAACCTTTGTCATATACCCAGACAGATGGGTCCTCGACCCAGCGCACAAGGACGAGTACACGCAGGTTGTATTTGTAGAAAGCATGCCCGCAGACTTCCCTTGTGCGTCCATGCAGCTTGTTGTCAAGATCAACCAAACTCGAAATGTTGATCAGATGGGGCTTCTCAAGATACTTCTGCAGCACGTATCCCTCACTCATGCGTCCGGTAAAAGGCAGAGCCGAGATGTTTAGGTCCTCTGCACTCGGCATCCCACCAAAAAGCACAATGCCTTTCCCCATTGCACCATCAACAGGCTTTGCAAGCCACCAATTTTTCTGAAGCAACTCCAGCTGCAACTGCGGCAGCTCATGCTCAATTTCAGTCAGCAGCATGGCTGCCTTCTGCAAGGCGGTCAGAGAAGAGTTTTCCCATTTCTGAGGAGCACCACTTGCCTTTAAGCTCAATAGGGTGTTGCAGCGCTCCAGCACACTTTCCACCGTGCCATCTTCACATGACCTGAGTTCTGGGGAGCATTGTGGAGCTCAGCGTGGTGTATTGCAGCTCTGCAAGGCAGCAAACCCAGCACGGCTCAAGGCAGGGTGCTTTGGGTGCTTTGCGGCTCGGTCTTTCAAGTTTCGCAAAAGCCCGAGGTAGTGAGACAGCTCAAAGTCCCACCTTAGGCTGGCCTACTTTATCTTGCAGCATGGGGCGCACGAAGTTTCATGCGGTCAAGAGGCCTGAACATTTCCCATTCTGAAGCCGCGGCTGCCGCATCTCTTGTCAGAATGTAGCTTCGAGGCACCAGTGTCCAGAAACAAGGATCCCTTCTTGCAATCAGCGCAAGGAGATGTTTTCCTCAAAGACAACTGACAACGCCTGCCACCGTCCTACCGACCCTCTTGATGCCACTTGAAGATGTGAGGTGATCCAATGCTATCCAGCAAAGAAGCGATGTATGTCTTGCACGCCGCCCGATGGAGCTCCACGTCTTAGAACCTCCAGCTGGTGTTCTAAGCGATGCAAGTTGCCCGAGTAGATGACAGCATCGCTTTGATGTACGGCCATCCTGGTAGTTAGCGCTGCTGCAACGACAGCCTCACAGGGGTCTCCGGACCGTGCTAGGGCTCGTTCTATGTCGACCCATTCAAGACAGCCCCCTCCCGCAAAACCAGAAACTTGATCTGGAGATCTTTTCGTGGACGCATTTGGAAAGCTGGGGGCATATCATGATTGGGCTTGAGCCACACTGCACAACGCATGTCCAGTCAACCGCCCCAAGGAGAACAATCGCCGAAGATGACTGTGCATTGAGCTGAGCTCCGGTCGCAAGCACCTGTCACGTCTCCCCGCATTGAAGTCTCAGCAACACCCCTGCTCAGTGAAGCTCCATGCCTCTGGAGAAGAAAGCGCCAAACCGAGCAAAAGGCCGCAGCATGCCTTTGCGGGAGCTGAAACTTTAAAGCTGAGCTGGACAATGCTGGACACGCAGGCACTGGCTCATGCAGTTTTGCTAGCTGTTTTGCGGCAGTGACCCCTTCAACCCCTTCATCCATGGTTTGGGCAACTATGGACAACATGCTGGCCTGAAAGCATCTCACCTGCCACGTTCCCAGGAAGCTTTGCTCCTTGGTCGAGGCTATGAACAATGAGGCATCTCTACAGCTACAGGCAGCTTCACCCACAGAAGCAAAACAAAGAGTCCGTTGCGCTGAGCACGTAACCTGAGCCAAACCTTCTTGTGAAGTTCGCGGCTCGATCCTCCGCATTTCGCACATGCAGCAACACGCTCGCCTTGCCGACTGAGTTGCCAGCCTACTCGGCCCATGACGGAGTCTGGCGCAGCCACCTGCTGCGGCTGTGCCTGGGTCGGCTCGTTTAATGCGCAGTCCCGGTGTCTGACAGCCGAGCTGCGCACCGTTTGGGAAGATGAAAGCCCAATCGACACAAATTGTAGCAGCTGCGCACAATGCCTTGAACTTGGTTCGATACAGCTCCACATACAGCTCCACCAGAAGCCCCATCTGAACAAACCGCGCAGGCTCGTCATGCTTGGGCGCGCGCGAGCAACAATCCCCAACCACGCGCCATACCGGTCTCCAGCCGCATGAAGACGCGTCAAATTGGGCAACCAAGCCCCTGCCCTTTTGAGCACATTTCCATGTTCCTGCAAAAGCTTCCTGACGCTTACATGCCTGTTCTTGCCACAACCGTGCCTGAAACTGTGGCAAGATCCCTCGTAATAACGCAGAGCAGATGTTGAAATTCATGAAGAAAGAATGGAAACTGGCAACTACTGGTAAGCACGCCCACTTGATCCCCTCTTGCAAGTTGCTTCTGCGTTTACATATGTTTACATGCACCATGGCGGGTACAACGCACCGGCCTTTGCCAGGTGACACGCAACAATGGCAACACCTTCAAGATCCTTCAAGATCCTTCAAGACAGCCCGGCCACTGTTTGACAGCGCTCCGCTGTGTCTCGGTCTAACTCGTGCATTTCCAGCACCGAAGGAGGATTGCACACCCGATCCAATAGTTTGGCGGCCAATTGCTCGCAGTCTAGTAGCTTGGCACCACTCATGCCCACAGCGCCAAGAACCTGGCTCACAAAACATGCCGAAAGATCTAAAGGTTTCATGATGTTTCGTGTGCCCCATTTGCCTGGTCAATGTCTGCCTCCGACAGATCCTGGTCTTGGGATATGAACTCCAAGATGCGATCCTTGCTAATCTTGGCCTCAAAATGAGCGACAGGGCCCAGCCCCGACAAAACGGCTTGAGAATGTTATCATCGAACTCTTCCGAGGGGCGCGATTGTTTGCAAGCCTGAAACAAGCAATGCCAATGTGCCAACTTGGCATTCCATGCAAGAGGGCACCGATCACGAGCCTTCGCAGCGCTTGTTGCACTGCTGCCAAGCTGACATTGTCTCGATCATGGTTTTGTTCCAGCAGATCCATGAGCCTCAGCAATGAAGTCCAAAAACGCGAGAGGCGTCAAACTCAAGCAGTTTCACATGTGCCGCAATGCAGGGGCTGCACATTCGCAGGTTCCACTTCGTTCTCTCTGCTATCGTTCCTTGCTTCGTGCCTCGGCCGGCAAACAGGGCGCCGCCGTATCAATCGGATGACAATCGGGAGCCGCTTGTGCGTAACAAAACGAACCCAGTCGGATTGGCAAAGCCACGGCAAGGTAATGAAAGTCACAGGTACTGGCTTTGAGCTGGTTCAAAAGCATCGCGTCGAGCTCGTCGTCGGACAAGCACCACCCAGCACAGCGTAAGAACTCCCGTGCCTGCTGGCGGCTTCAAGCTTCGGGTAACCACACGACTGTGTATCGAAAAAAGTACCACAATCTACCACACCGATTCGCGGGCAGCTGTTGTCGCACAGGCCAGACTTGAACACAACATGGGAAACACAACCGCTGTCAACTGCTGATTAGCCTGAAGCCCCGGAATTGTGGTACATTCTACGAAATTTTTGAGCGGGATGACATTGTCATCATCCCCGAGTCGCCGAATTGTGCTAAGGTTTTCGGGTCATCTGACATGCATCTGTTCTTTAAACTTAGGTTCTGAGATTTTTGAGCAGAGCCTGAACCAAACTGAAGCACTAAAACTTGAGCATGGCCCGTCCCAGGAGATGCCTGAGCTGAATCTGAGCAAGGCAAACCTATCTTTGACCACGTAAGCCCTAGGGCCCTAGGGAAGCCTGAGGCCTGAAACAAAGCAGGCTTAAGTTCTCAGGCTGTCCGGCGTAAGCCTCGCGTAAGCCGCTGTACCAAGCCAAGCAATCAACAGCTTCGCCGATACCGTAGAATACTAATGGTCTGATGCCCCCAGAATACTATTCGACGGGAGCAGCTTAAACCCTTAGCTCGACCCTGAATCTTAATGGAAGGATAACCTCACATCAGTAACCTCCAGGCTCAAATGGGTTCACGGTGCCGAAACATTGAACCTGACGCCAACAACGTGCTTTGGTTCTTGCTCTTCTTCCTCCACCGGGCTCTTGCCTTACCTTTGCTTAAAATTGAGGCTGTGGATGCTCTTGAAGGCTGGCATCTTTCCGGGGGTAAAGATGAAAACTCTTGAGTCAGAATCAGAGGTTGTTTGTTTTTTGTCTTGTCCCTCAGGCTTTCATTGCCTGATAAGATTCACGGCCACTGTCGAAGCATCAAGGCTTAATTCGAGGCTTTGAACTACAACAAACATTCACGAACGATCAAGCAACCAAACCCCCAAGCGCATGAACCTGTGAAGCACTTTTGAGCTTCATGCAAATTGACGGGACGTGTTGCGAACCCTTCTGAGCTTCCTCTGGATTCTCTGAAATCCTTTTGAGCTCATGAACCAGCGAACCCCGCCTTCCTGGCCCCCTCCCATCCCCCCCACCCTGCGATATGCCGGCATACCTATTTGTTGAAAGGGAGGGGGCTGGGTTCGGTATCTTCGATATTCAACATGCTGCTACGATCCAGCCTTCTTGCTCAAGCAATGCTCACGTCATGGTTCAACTTGACCCACTGTGGCCCCACGTTTTTCAATCGCAGGGTTCAGCAGACAGCTGGGGGTTTGGGAGCAAACCATGCAGTGGAAACAGCCAGGGCAACCTATGCCAGGGCAACCCATGCCAGTGCAACCCATGCGATTTTTTGCCGTCAAGAACATTGACATTGAGCTCTTCCCGCGTGGCAATGCAGAAGCAGCCTGCTTCTTTCCAAGCAGCCCCTCTTTGTTTTCATCCAGCATCTCGAACGCCACCTCCGCACAAAAGGACGCCCTCTGACAACGACCACACGAGACGCGACGAGACACAACACGCGAGCCACATAACGAGCCACGCGACGACATGTAAGATAAGCCACAAACAACGACACAATGGACAGTGCACAGAGCACAAGATGCGATGTGAGGCATGACACCACCACCTCCACGACGACGACCACCACCACGACTACGACCATGACGACGACGACACAAACAGCAACAGCAATACCAACACCAGCGACAACACCAACAACAGCAACAGCAACCGCAACCGCAACAGCATGACTGCAACAGCAAAAGCAACAGCATGACTGCAACAGCATGACTGCAACAGCATGACTGCAACAGCATGACTGCAACAGCATGACTGGAAAAAGCATGACTGCAACAGCAGGACCGCAACAGCAGAACTCCAACAGCATGACAAGCATGATTGCAACAGCAGGACTGCAACAGCAGAACTGCAACAGCATGACTGCAACAGCATGACTCCAACAGCATGACTGCAACAGCATGAATGAAACAGCATGACTGCTAGAGAAGTGACCATATGGCTTCAGCAAGCGAGAAAGCGAGAAAGCGAGAGAGAGAGAGAGAGAGTCAGAGAGCAACAAAGGCGCAAGAACGAACGACTAAAGAATCGAATCAGCGACAGCAAAAAGAAGCAGAGACACAATGAGACACACAATGAGACACAGTGAGACACGCAACATCGCGCGCCAGCCTTCAAGTCACTGGGGCTGGTGAGTTGCATAGCCCCTTCAACGCCCTGCGGCGGCTTAGCGCCCTTCATCTGGTCCGGGGCCTATCGTGCAAATGTCCGTAATGTCAACATACGGAGAGTGCCGAAACTGCTGGCGCCTTTCTGTACGCCTCATATCCTTTCGACGTCAGTTTAGAAGCTTGCCCGCTGCTCGAAGCCATCACGCCGACGGCTCTCAACGACCCTGTATGTGCCCAAGCTGTACCAGACCTTCTCGCACATGGCTACTGGCTGAACCCAAGCCAAAAATCCTTGCAAAAATCGACAATGACAACAGACGCAGTTGTGGACCCCTTCTGTAAAATGTATCTGCGGCTGTGCAAATATGCAAAGATGCATGAAGCAAACTAGTGCCAAAGCTCGCATCTGCTAGCCCAAATAGCTCAACCGTTTAGGGTCTACGGTTTGCCATCTGCTTTTCACCCTTCTTTTAAGGTGTAGGGTTTCCAGCAAGCATCTCCTTTTGGAGTTGAGGCTTTTGTTTTTCGGGTTACGGTTGGGCTTCCCACCCTCCTTTTAGCAAGGCCTTGTCACCAGGCAGTTGCTTTCAGGGTTATGCCTTCCTACCCAACATCTCCTATCGGGGCCCAACATGACCATTTAGGGTCTAAGATGTCTAAGGCGCCTAGGGTTTGCATTCTTGACTTTCTGCACATTCTATTTACTTCTTCTTGACGGGAACAACGTTTGTGGGTTCTGCTTTATCTTCAGGACCAATGAGTTTATGATGACTTACAGTATTGACACATTTATTCTCTCGAATTCCAGTATTGCGTAGGATTGTTGCGTTGCATTGTCACGTTGCATTATTGCGTTGCATTGTCACGTTGTATTATCGCGTTGCATTGTTGCGTTGCATTGTTGCGTTGCATTGTTGCGTTGCATTGTTGCGCTGCATTATTGTGTTGCATTATTGCATTGCATTCTTGCATTACATTATTGCATTGCATTATTCCATTGCAGTATCATTGCATTCTTGCATTGCATTGTTGCATTGCAGTATTGCACTGCATTATTGCATTGCATTACTGCATTGCATTCTTGCATTACATTCTTGCATTGCATTATTCCATTGCAGTATCATTGCATTGCATTGCGTTCCATTGCATGGCGACTGCGACTGCGACTGCGAGACTGCGAGACTGCGAGACTGCGAGACTGCGAGACTGCGAGACTGCGAGACTGCGAGACTGCGAGACTGCGAGACTGCGAGACTGCGAGACTGCGAGACTGCCAGACTGCCAGACTGCGACTGCGACTGAAACACAACTACAACTATTAGTAAAGATCTTTGAAGCAAGTTTGCACGCGCGCTAAACACAATGCTCGTTTGATGGGTGGAAAAACCAGGCCATTTTTCACACCCGGAAGCACAAGACATATACGTGGCAGCTAGGGGTTTGCAACAACTTAAGCCACGCATGCTGTGTTGGAGGGGCCTCTGTGAGTTTTGGACTTGCCGAAGTCCCAAAGCCGCAGTTCTACGCACCACGGTACCGTGGGATGTGCACTGAGCGGAATGCTCGGGGTACTGCTGTATGTGGTCGTACAGGTATAGCTTTGGCGAGCCGGGTCGAGAGGCACTGTGGCTACGGAACACGGGAAACACAACACGCAACAAGGTTCCAATTGTGTTCCAACCGTTGTTGAAGCAGAACCGCTTTGCAAACCTATTGCCAAGTGAGATAATGGAGCCGCTCTGACATGAAGCGGGCAAAGTCTCAAGGAATGCCTTGCACTCTGCTTGCCAAACATGTGCTGGCCTCAACTCTTTGCGAGCTGTCTTCGCGGTGGCGCGCTCCACTACAAGGTGAAACTCGCCTCCTGCCTAGTTCCCAGTCTACGCTCGCCTCAAAGCATACATCTTGACCGGGACCAGATCTGAAGGCCAGTGCGCCTTGACATGTCTAAGAGTCTATGTCTCTCAGCACTACAAAAAGCCACAAGAGCCCGAAGCCTGCTTCAGCTCATGTTGCAAGACCAGGCCGGCTTTTTGAAAGATGTCCTCGCACACGGCGGTCACGTGACTTCGGGCATTGGGCACGGAAGGCAAAACGAGCGCTCTTCTACGACGCCAGGTCCTTGTACATTGCGTCTGTCCTCGATATGCTGTTATCATCTCGGTCCACTATCCATTGCCTGCTCATGAAGACAGTCATGTCACACTCGCACGCACACGCAAGCACTCGCAAGCACGAATGCACAAGTGTTCATATACACACAAACATCAACGCGCGCGCCACTCACTCACCGCGAAGCTTTACTCGAGCCACACTTCCGAGCGTAAAGTGCAAAGCTCACAGGTGGAGGTGGAGGTCAGAGTTCCCATCGAACATGTGCGACCCACACTAAGAGCCAAGAAACAAATGATGTGGAACCACCTCAAGGCGGGATTTACCCTTTTTGTGCTTCCTATGAATGTGTCGTAAGCACAAGCCCAGCGAGAACAACATACGGAAAACCAATACAAAAGCAAACCCATAAACCCTGAAAGCCTGCGAAGCGGGGTGCGAGTTTTCGGGGATTACGGGCAAAGGCGCTGTTTAGGTTTCCACCTTCTTGGTGGTTACAGGGCAAGTTCAGACTTTGGGGGGGTTTTGTCTTCGAGGGTTTGGGGGGTAGAGGGATCTGCTCATGTTTGTGGTGTTTTTGTTTACATTTCTTTCTTTTTTTTTGGGGGGGGGGGATTGGTTGGCGGGTTTCGCGGGGGCGTGCGCTTTTTAACTTATCATTCTTCGCGTGCTATTTGGGGCAGTGAGTAGTTTCTGATAGTGTCTCGCGCATTGAAACTTCCGTACGCTGCTAAACTCGACTGTGTTCTCCTTCTCTCTCAGAACCATCAACACAATACACCGTGGAAGAACTGCATCACTTTAAGGAAGCAGCGTACAAGTCCAGTCTGACTCTGCTTCCCTTCTTTTAGAAACATCACTGCAGGTATACTGGACTGATCCGAGCTGCATCACACACACACACACACCATCACACACCATCACACACCCACACCCACGCGCGCTCTCTCTCTCCCTCGTGCAATAGAACTCTCGAAAAGTGTCATGTCAATTGCAATCGCGTCTGGCACCCTTCCAGCACAACGTTCTCCTTCACGAGGATCAGACCATTTCTGGCATGCTGAGCAGGCCCGCATCGCACACGCTACATGCTGAATATGCCATCGCACATCGACGACTTGCCCCGCCTTGTCAGGCCTTTTTTGCATCGTTCAAGGAACAGGACCAAATCGTCATCTGTCAGGTAAAGAAGCACCCACTGTGCCCAGATTGTATCATACCTGCGCCACATTGCATCACTCTCGAAGTCTAAGATGCTGCTGAACACGACGAAAGCACCAAAAAAGGCAACCAAATTCTGCTCAATTTCCATGCGGCGCACCGGCCCTCCTCGGGATGGAATTGCTCCAGGGAGCTGTTGATGAAGCGGTCCACTTTGGGATCGCGGATCTAGCGAAGCGATACCAACGTCCCGCGTATGTCTACGGTGAACCGAAATCTACAAACCAACTAAGCCATTATTTGAGCATTTCCGTTCATTTTCTCCCACCTGCTCACGGGCTGCTTCCAACAGCCGTGCATTAGGCTCGACGAGGTCGACCTGGGCAAACCTCTAGTGAGAAAGCAGCACACCTATGGTCACCATAGTGCGTAGACTCAATGACCAGCCCAGACTGACAGGTCGCCAGTGAGCCCACGGCTCGTGGACCAGAAGGCCCTGTGTGACCTGATACGAGCGCAATCTTTGAATAAACACTTCTGACAAAATCCGACCCAAGCTCGCGATTCTTGCAGAGGGGCTCGTCCGATCCCAGCACCACAGTCAAGAACTGTTCCTCGCTGGCTTGGAGGGTCCGTCCTAAGATGGCACATGCAAGCAGTCTACAAATTAATACAGGACGTAGGCTCCAATTAGTAGGGAAGCAGGGAATAGGAATACGAGTCCACCTCTACCTCTACTCTCCGAAGGAATGTTAAGGACTTGGCGGCCGCCGCACCAGATGCAGAAATCTCCTCAATTGCAATGCCCCAGCACTTTGCCAACGTTTCGGGGCTCTCAGTTAAAGCCGCTCTTGCAGGGACCCTGCCTGGATTCCCTCAAGTCCGGTTCGCTGGTTTCAGGGAAGCCGCCCAGGACACCGTTCACCGTTGCATCCTACATTACTGTGAGAAAGGCAATGGCACCATAAACACAAACCAGAAGAGGCAGCGTGACCTGGGCTGCCCAGTGCTCCAGCGTCTTCTTGTACCAACCTCCGGTCATGTGAGGGTTTCGCCGGCTTTCGCTGGCTTTCGCACTCGCAACTCATCCTACTCATCCTCTGCTGTTTTGCTGTTTGAGATCGAACCGTCGAGTCTAGTAGTGCCCACCACTTGTCATCAGAATGTTGCATACATTTCTGCAGGGCACGTTTGCTCATCCGCCTTGCATGATTCAAAGGTGTGCTGAATGCCCCTGCAAAGAGTAACGTTCGTTCAGGTCGAGCTAGCGAAGGCTTCCGGCCATTATTGCACAAGTGAGGCATGCTTGCATCTGAAACGCTGGTCTTCTTCTCTTCATCATTCCACCTCAGTTTGATGTTGCTGCAAGGTATGACAGGTATTGTGCCAGGAAGCCTCATGAAGTGCTTCCAAGGTACAGGTCGAGGTGGCTGGAGTAAGATGCCCCGGTGCTGTCCGTGCCAGGCCGTGCCTGTCACTTCCATGCCATTAGTGCGGGCCGAGCCTCTGGACCCGCATCCTGGCTCCTGGCCTCTACGGCAGTTTCTACTTCCATGAAGCTGCTGAAGCCCGCTGCCTACGTCAGATGCATATACAATGCATATACAAAGCACCTCCATCCTTGCCACTTGTCTCAACCTGTGGGAGAGCCTGTGCGAGTCCACCACTCGGCCAACTTAGCGTGCGGCAATGCAAATCCGCAATCGCGGAATCTCGCAAGCTGCTCGCAAGCTTCGCACTTAGCCCGACAAGGTGCAAAACATGTTGCGTTCTGTACTGCTGTGTTGGGTCCTTTTGCAAGGCAAGAATTCGCCTCGGCTTCCTGCCGAGAAGCGTTTGGAACAAGCAGACACGGGATCCGGTCTCCTTCCCCCTAACAAACCCTTTCCACCCCTTCCCCCGTGCCGAACTTTGTGACGCAACCCCCCCCCCTGTGGGACCCCCCCCCATTGCTTGGATGCCGTGGCGGTCCCGCCTGTCGGCGGCTCCTACAGAGGGGGGTTCTCAAAAGGCACGAACTTGGCTGTTTTGGGAGACCCCCGGGGACCCCCTAGGGCCGTCTCATGGCGAGTCCGCAAGCTCCCGAAATGCCAGACAACATCCACGAAGGGCGTACGGCTACAGTTTCCAAGTTGCGGACGGCCTCCGCGAGAAGAAGCGTCACCAATCCATGGCTGTCTTCGACAAGCCAAACATGAGAGAATCAACAGATCAACCGACAAGGTCGTTTCAAAACTGGTTTATGAGTTGCAGCTTGATGTGTCATGTTGTGAGGCTGTTAAAGGCGATGGCAAGAGCTTCCAAAGCGGAGATGGGTTGACAAAATTGGCTATTGCGGTGATCTGGTGGTTCTGAATTCTTTGCTTTGTGCTTCTATGGTGTGATACTCACTGCATATTGGTCCAGGCCGTCGAAGCAGGGGATGGCTCACATGGGGTATCATGAAGCGGCAGTGCGGAACTATCACACGGAGTTCTAAGCTGGAGTTCGAGCTCACAAACCCATCTCTTTGTGACATTTTGGTGAAACTCCCTTCCCACGATGCTTAGGGCTGAAGCTCCTCTGAGCTTCAGCTCCTTCTCGGCTGAGTTCCTTCCAAGTTCCTTCATCACTCTCTGAGTCGCCGCACAAGACCGAGATCAAGGGCATGCGAGGAATAGACGACTTGGAGAAGTTTCGTCCTCACTACCTCGAAACCTCGAAGTGTGAAAGCATGGAGAGGTCAAGAGTCGGCCACGTCACATCTGTCGCCAACCAGCAAAAAGTTGCCCACAAACCTCCGTTGGCAGCATGTTGTGCAACACTCGTGTGCCAACAAACCGGTTCACGGAATGCTACGTATTCGCGGCACCTTGCATTTGCCTCCGGTAGCAGTCTTCATGGCGCACTTCTTGCCTTTGGCAAGCCGAACAGTGCACTCTCTTGCCCTGCCTTCCCCGACATAGCTGAGGTCTGTGGCACGCAGCTTCATGCCCGCATCCGTCTGTTTCGTACCTCGCATGCGTCTTCAACCCGTGATCCATCGTTGCCATGCTCAGATTTGGGGCTGGCGTCCGTGGTTGCTTCTTGCAGTATAGGCAAGCATCCTGCACAACCAACGAAACCAACGACAAACACTGACACCTACGAACAAAAGCAGTTTGTAAACTCGATCAGAAGTGCTTCTCCTCGGCTGGAGCAGGTGGGGCCGCTGTTGCTGCTGTTGCTGCTGTTGCTGCTGTTGCTGCTGCTGGTGCCGCAGGACCATCCTTATGCACCCAACGTACCAAACGGCCAGAAACTTCATTCAGCGACTTTCAGCTCCTGAGCTCCTGGCGTGGTCCTTCGTACCAGCGACGAAGGTGGTTCCAGTTGACGCCATCCTGATGCTGCAGAGCTGCATCCGACGTTCTTGATCGCTCTTTTCAGCAAATCTCCAGTCGATTGGAAGACTCAGCCGCCTTGGCCTTCTGAAATCTCAGCAGCCCATCGGCAGATGTTACCTACCTCGTTTGCAAAGGAATGTGTTGCGACCCATGCAGCTGTTGCCGTAGGAAACCTTCGTCCCCCAAGCCAAGTCACAATGTTTCTCACCAGCTCTTGAGAAGCCGCGATGCTGCAGATCTACTCATGCATGTCATGCATACGCCAAGAATACAATCATGTACTATGGCTGTACATGCAGTCAACAACAGGCGGCGCTCCAGAGGACTTTTTTGCACGGCGCAGGACCGCTGTTCGACGGTGCCCTTGGCACCGTGAAACAAGCATGTGGATGCTACGCGAGCTCAAGCGGCCGGAGTTCGGTTCTCCACTGCGTTCATTTAAGGCATCTCCTGTTGTGGGAAAAGAGCAATAGCGGAATGGCTCGAGGCAGAGGTGTCCGCACCAGAAGCCGGTTGAGGCCGGTTGAGGCCGGCTGAGGCTCTTCCTCTTTTGGACACTGGGACATGCCAAGTGCAGAATGCACAGAGCAGAACTCTGCACGACAAGGCTGCACGGATCCCTTTCTGCATTGCTTGGCTTGCATATCACGCTTCATAACTTATCATAAGGCTGCACTCCCGCGACCTGGCAGACACACCACCTTCGCGTTCTCGCAGTGCAATTACGATTGGTGACGATGCAGCCTATAGTATCTACAGGCGCAAGCGATCTCGTCCACAACCAAACCAGAAGTATCATCGACAGGCGGGGGTGTGCAAGAAGCCTTCGCCCGCTCGGCAGCTTCTAGGGCAATCTTTGCTTCTTGTCGGAGGTAGCGCTTACCATCCAAGTGCCCAACCATTCGCGCCGGCGCCGTTTCCCCATCATCCAACAAAAACCTGGGTCTGTTCGCATCAAGGCATCAATCCAGCTAGCAGGAAAAAGAGACAGCTTTGAATGTCTGCGTAACTGCCGAAACCGGAGCGGATGCATAGGGCAATGTGCAGATGGGAGCGCAAAAGGCCCCTGGCCAACAGGCTTGCAAGATAAGCCCTCGAGTAAAATGAAACAAAACTCTCGCCCCGCAACTCCACCCCTTTAGACCGCCGACCAGCCGACCTGGACTTCGACTGACCTGCCCATACGCCACGTTCGCCCCGTTCCCCTCACCTCCACTACTTGCGGCTTGCAGTTGAGGCACCGTGCTCGAATGACCGAGGCGCACCAAGCAGAGCGTTGGCAATTAAGCCCACCGCCCGAAAAGCCGTTGGAAACTACCAGAGACTTCTTCCAGGTTCTTACTATTTTTCTTGCATCCCTCTGAGTCGTTGCAGACTTGCATCCCCCCCCCGCACATGCCTGCGCGCACGCGCATGTGTAAGCTTGCAGCTTGCGCATTCAACCAGCCCGAGCACGTTCCTTCCGAACTTATGAGAAGACCATGTTATTCTAAGCCATGCAGAACAATTGTCAGATTGAGTATCAGAGTGACGTCCCATAGTGTTGGTGGCTGCTCCAGCCCAGTGATCGCAAGTCCATTCCCTGCTGCTGGCCCAGCTTGTCCTCGATGAACCCCCCACGGCTCACCAAGTGCCGTCGACCAAAGACGAAGTCTCGGTAGTAGCTTGTAGATGCGAAATGCGTGGAGTCATGCCACATGATCATCGGGATAAACCGAAGGGAAGGACATTCAGATGATGTCACTATCAACGATTCGAAAGGCGGGTGTAGAACCTTCATCTCCCCAAGCCTTGTCACAGCTTGGATGACATAGCGCGTCGGATCGTTCGTAGTCGTCGGCAAGCCCACCATCTTCAAGCTAGAATTCTGCATCATCGCTTTCAGCAGTGGCTTCACATGAGGGAACCCTCGCATGAACGTCCTGTCATGCTGCATGATGCAAACAAACGGCGTGTGGACCAGATCCAATGCTGCTCGTACCGCAAATCCAAACCCTTGCCGCTCTGCCAAACGCAAGACTTCCACAGTTGACCAAAGTGGCGATGGTTTCGTCTTTGTGAAAATCTCGAGGCTGGCCACGTACTGCTCGTATGCCCTTGCTCTCTCCTCTGTTACAATACCACTGCGGAACTTGCTGTCACTGGCAACCCTGAAGCCATCACAAACAATAATATGACGGCATTGCAACAGATCAGGAACAAATTCCTCCAGACTCTCCAGAGTCGAGCAAATCAGCTCTGTCGACGGGTTGGATGGTGTTGGAGAAGTTGTTGTAATGATCGTACACAAGGAGGACAGTTCCATGTGCTTGGCTCTGGCGCCTGCGGGGCAGAGGAATCGAGTGCCTGCCAGCTGAGATACATGCATGAAATACAATGAACTGGCAGCATGGATGCATGGCTGTTTGCATGCGCTTTCCCCCTTCTCCCCTTCTCCTTCTGCAACAGAGATCAATACAGACTTTTTCTGAAAAACTTCAACACATCCAAATTGGATGCCGGCACGTGGATGACCCCATCCGGGGCCGGCAGGCAAAACGAGACTACATCGTACATTGGCACCCAAAGCCTCTTCAAGGCAGAGTCGGGACTTCAAAGTGATAATTCTGCTTGCAGGACTAGCCTATACTAGCCTGCTGTCCTTTGAGGTAATTAATGTACACAAACAGACCTTTGCCAACTTTGCCCAGGGAACACATGTTTCTCAGAGCCCATGCAAAAAAACTACCCAGGAAATGCTTTGGCAAACGTCTCGACGATACTGCAAAAGTCACCGGCGGCCAGCCCCATTAAGTGTCTCAGTAGGCCTTGCATCGGTCATGCTGCGAGAGCATTGAGGTTTGCTGGCTTTGTCACCGAACCCCGACTTTCATCCGAGCAGCAGGGTCTACATCCAGCCCAGCCTGAGGCCATTTGTGAAGAACTTGAATGAACATGATACACTGATTCTGGTACACGTGACATTTATTCGTGGATGTTCATGGCACGGTCCCACACATGCGACCCTTCAGGCCTGAAGTCGGAGGCAGTCAACCTCATCCTTGTAGGTACTCGGACCTGATTCCGTCCCGTGTGAAAATCTTGTGGGCCTAGCGCGACTTTACTGGCGGATGCTGTCAGCACGGGCACCAGATACATGCTGAGACTGCTCGCGCTTCTTACCGCGAGCTTGCGACCTTCACTGCATGGAAAGCGGCTAACAACAGTCATAATGTTAACTCATCTTAGTTCCGTGCCGCCGAAGGCGTTGATGTATGTACAATTTGCCGGCACCGGCATCAGGTCCTGCCACTCTGCATCTGCAAGTTGGGAGACGGATGCACAGAGTGCATTGACATGTGCATTGTGAAAACGATCGCCTTCATAGCACATCCTCGCGAATGGCCAGTCGGAATCATGATCATCAAGGGGACCTGAAAGGAATCAGAATTGTTTCCTGACACGGCCTTGGGGCCGTGAATGGGTCTCAAGGCAGTCGAGGCAGCTACCGGGGGTGGTCGACATCGCATCTGGATCAGAGGAGCACACGCTCCCGGCTGCAATCACAAAGTGCTTCTTACCTGGCAAAAACGGGGATTCAACCTTGCATTGCGTTCTCGATAGACGGGGCCTATGTGGGCCTACATGCGGATGATAACAAACCCGCCCAGCTGCCAAAACAGGGTCCGGAGGTTCCCGAGGTCTCTCTCGGCATTGCCTCCTGAATACGTACCGCTGAAGAGCAGAGCGCGCTGGGACTTTCATAATCTTTCATAAATAAACATGTCAGGCCTCTTCTGGCAAGATTAACCTCAGCCGTGCCGAATGAATGTGATGAGCCTCTTCAAGCTGTGACTAAGGCTGCCGCTCGGAATCTCTCCTTGCTGGCTCCTGCAAGAGATCCACTCTGTGAGAGGGCACCCAAGCTTTGCGGAGGAATGCGGAGGAGGTGCCAGCTCCAGCTGCTTGTCATCGCGCCCGGAAGTGCATCTGACAGGGTGACGGCGGTCATGACACGACCAATCAAGTGCTCTACAGGACGTCGCCTTGGCTTGACTGCTTCAATGCCAACACCTGAGCCAAAGCGACGCAGACTTCGAGCCGACAACTTTTCAAAACTTTGCATGCTGCAAAGGTGCAGGTAGATACCGTGCTTGCGGCAGCCTCCTCCAATGCGCAATGGTCCTCACGGGTGTTCCATGGGCTCACATCGCAAATCAGGAGGCCAGATCGTGGGCAAAGACAGTGCTAGGAACTGTCCTCAGCTTCCTGTGAATAGCAATCAATCGAGCTTAGTTAGCTAAGCAAAATACACAAGTCAGGCTCGGCTGGCCTTCGAGACACGGAACCGAACAATGCAGCTCACCACATTTGTTGTAACTTCTCTCTGTTCGTTTTGGGACTGATGTAGTCACGCTTTTGTTTGGGGATGTGCAGCTCACCAAGGGCCCAACACAAATTCAACAACACGTGCACCCTCACGCATACAGAGATCATCATCATTATCATCATTATCATCATTATCATCATCATCATCATCATCATCATCATCATCATCATTATCATCATTATCATCATTATCATCATTATCATCATTATCATCATTATCATCATTATCACCATTGTCATGAGTGTCATCATTACCATCATCATCATCATCATCACCATCATCATCGTCGTCGTCGTCGTTGTTGTTGCTATCGCCATCATCGTCATCACTGTCATCACCATCATCATCATCATCCAAAAAAAACCCAAAAACAACATAAAACAACAAAGAAACGAAACCGGTTTGCAACATGTCAAATGTGAGTTTTTGACCTGCACATTGTGTCTCACGAGCTCGTGCATTTGCTATCTTTCGCGTGGCTTCGGTAAGCTCATGCTGGTTCTGGTGTCTGGGGTCCAGCTTTGGTTCAACATCGGCTCTCAATGTTCGGGTAAGATTCTACTATTCTCCCTTCTGGAGCTCGGCTCTGAATCGAGCAAAGCGCCTTTTTGAATTTGCTCCTGGAACTTCACTCTCTGCAGCAGACATGCAACTCATCACAACGAGACCATGCCCGCTCAGTCCCGTTCTGCCGACTCCTCACGCGACAGGCCTGCGACGGTAGAGCCACAGCTTACGTGACAAAGTGTCATCATGACATCATGCCATAGTGTCACCACAATGCCCCTCACTCGCATGCCCCCACTTATAGCTGTGACCACCAAACCACTGCTGAAAGCAAAAACGAAGTAGTCTCGGGCCAGGAGCTCTGAACCGAGGCTTGCTTTCGGGGTTGAAGCTTCTGGTGTTGGGGCTTCTGCTTGGTCTGGGGGGCTTAAAAACTTGTTTTCGGTGCTTAGGCTTCTAACGCCTCCGCTCTCCTGTGACTTGCCCCCTCAATTAAAAATCCAAGTCCGGGAGCTCGACCATAAACCCCCTTGCAATTCATTCTGGTTTCTGAGTTTAGGGCTTTCACTTCTTCGAGGTCCGCCGACCCGGCCGACATGTTGGACCCTTAAAACGTGAATGAGGGGGGTGCAGGGGCGGAGACTTTCTAGCATGGAAGCTTTTTCCATGGTCTTCTTCATAAAGCACACCAGACTGCCTGCCCGCAGAGGGCGCTTCGGGAACAATTCACCTTCATAGTTACAGCGACGAGGCAAAGCAACCCTTCATAAGAGCCCTCTTATGCCGACTGCCATTGAACACCTTGGAATCATAAGCCTTTGGCCTTGGTCTCTTTCACACGTTTAAACCCTTGGAGCTGGTCTCAAGGTCATGGGTGCAAGGCTGCGGAACAAGAGTGAACGAAACCGCCCTAGAATGCAGCACGCATTGAGACAAGCTTGTCAAAGACTGAAACCTTAATGAACGACTCTGGGGCTGGAATGCCACATCCAGGTTTAGAAGATTCATGCGTTTCACGAGTGTTCTCTGGAGCTGGATTCAGTACACTTGCTCATTGTGCATTCGATTCACTCACTTGTTGTCTTCCCGCTGCTCACTTGGTTCACGACTAGCCCATGAATCTAATATGAAGAGCACAGTAGAACAGCCGTTAAAAGCTGTAAACGGGTGATCTGGGGCTGAGTCTTGATGTCTTGTTACGAACCGGCTTAGAGACCAGTTCAACCACAGCCTGGAATCGCATGCCAGGTGTTTCAAGCTTGCTACAAGTCTGGCAAGGTGCCGTATCATGATCAGGGCACATTGCGATTGCCTAGTCTTTGGACTTTAAGGAACCAGAAGTAGAGCACAGAACATCTTGCCGATGAGCTGTGGACAAGATAAGCCTTATGCAGCATCTAAAGCGAGATGCATTTCAATATCAAGGTCTGGACCTGCTTGTCGAAACGACACTTCCGAATGCAAACTGCTGCCAAACAAACAGGTTGGCTGCAAAGCGCCTGGTGGATCCTTCTGGCACTCCTTCAGCAGCGTACAGCACGAACAAAGTACGATAAGAACGACTCCACGAGAGCATCTGCTGAAGCATGTGAGAGGGCTGTTTTCTGGGAGAGCTGGGAGAGCTGCTTCCACTGTTGTGGGGGTCGATGCGTCTCCGCCAGGTGCCGGAAGCTGCCTCACGAAAGCCAAAACACTCAGAGACTTCATTGAACAACCGTCTGTTATCTTCTGTTCGCAGATGCAGATGGGGTACAAGTTGACCTCATCCTCGCCTCAGCTCGAGGATATTGGTCATGATTTTACCCCTGTACCAGATGCTCACGGCAGCTCTCATAAACTCAGCTACGCACCGAGATTGCTTGCTGGAACGTTTGTCGCGCCATGAAGCACCTAGGGAAGACAAACCTGCCAACAGCCTGTCGAGCTATTGGGAACGGTTGAGGCTTCCGCATCCTCTTCTTTGGTTCCTATTGTCTTCTTGCAGCCACCGCACGCACAGAACGCACGAGCAGGCAACCATAAACGGCGTACGTTGCCTTGCGCATTCTGTGGCATCGATACAAAGGCGGAGCTCTCATTGCCTCAGGGTGGGCAGGTCGAATGTACAATGAGCGTGTTATACCCTAAAAGACTTCAAAAGGGGTAAGAAGCCAGCCAGCGAAGGGAACCGCAGAGTCCACTTTCACATTCCTGGTCTCTCCGCGGCTAACGTCACTAAGGCAACTCGTTTTGCGTGAACTTGTCGCCTGCACTCTGCGCCAACTTGCGGGAGTGCTCTGGCATCCTTCAGGTTTATCAGCAGAACCATTTCCAATTCTGCTTTCCGAAGCTGCAGAGCTACAATTTGCAACACTTCTCGAGGTGTTGCCCGATGTCAGTTGTGCAGCCCCAAGCAGCCCCAAGCAGCCCCAAGCAGGCCCCAGCAAAGCTGCCGTTTATCCAGCAATGCCGGGCCCTCTGTGAGAGCGCCGCTGTGCTTAGCAGGTGCTTTCTTCGTCAAAGCAAGTGCTGACAAGCGCCCCCACCCAATTTCGCATGGTTAGTGAAGATGCGGTGCTGGACTTGTCAGCTTGTTGAGGCTCGATGAAGTGTACTGTAACACTGCGAATCATCTGTTCGGTTTGGCGAGGAAGTGGTCAAAGGCGAACCTAGCAAACGGATACGTGTGGAAGTCGTACGCAAAATATCTGGCCTTCCGGTTGTCTTTGGCTCTGCAACGGGTGACTTCCCAGAACACAAACAATGGTTCCTCCTCTTTCCCGTCTGCCTCAGAGATCGACGGTAATTCGCGCCAAGCTTCCTGCAAATGTATGAACTAAATTTTCGTGTCAGAACAGGTACCGGGCGCGAGGACAGCTCAAGGTCTGCATGGCAAATGCGCCTGTTTATCACTGGGGCAGGTGTCCGTCGCAGCGCTAGGAACAGTCGAGACCCGCTCCTCCCGCAGATAAATGTACGGGTTCCAGTACGGTTCCAGAGGACTTGATCTGCTGCGACTGCAGGGATGTCCTCGTGATCTGCAAATGGAGCTGGGATGAGGATATCCTCCAACACCTCCGTCTCATCAGCAACCTGCAGAACTGTCACAACATGCAGCGGACATTGCAAACAAACTCAACTTCGTCGATGTGTTCCTGAAGGAAAGCCTCGGTGTGAGTGTGTGTACTAGGCGATGGATAGGAGGACCTCAGCTCAGCGGTGCTCTGTGTATCGCAAAGGCTATAGGCTATAGCAATCTAGGGCTTAGGGGCATGACTTGATCTACTAAGCAGGTTGCGCAGACTCTTGAGGGCCCAGCTGTGACAGCACCTGCGTCATTTGGGGAACCTCTTTGCAAGCGCGTCATCGAGTAGCAGTCCGCCAGTGCAAGCCGGGGGCAAGGCATCGAATCGTGCCGGGCTGTGATCAGGTTCATTGGAGTCCTCTAAGCAAAAAAAAACATCGCCAGACATTGTTTCAACACCCACCAGTGCTCCACCACTGCACGTCTTAGGCAGTGTCAGACATGCTGGATGGAGACAACGGGCTGCACAATGATGCCGCGGATGATGGTGGCGCACCTACACGTAACCATTTGCAGCAGTCTGTGGACTCGGGGCATGTCTGGGGCAGTACCGCAGCAAGCCTCGCCGACCCCGCACTGGAGTGCGAGGACTGGTGTATGGAGTGCCCGTCCATTCCTCTTGGAAGAAAAAGCAAGAGAGTGTCTGATCAAGCCGTTCACAGACACGGGAAGATTCATAATGTGGGCAGTCAAGGGCTTTGGATTGATGGCATGATTGAGACAAAGTGACGGAGAAAAGCAGAAAGCACAATTAAGATCAGGGAGCAGAAGCCAAGAGACAGAAGGCAAACTGCAGAGAACAGAGAGCCAAAGGAACAACAAGAACGGAAAGCATCAGCAAAAGGCAGCAATTTCGAAGCGAGAACCGCAGCAGGAAAAAAAATAATCCTGGAGCAATCGCAGCTGTCTGCCCGGCAATCTTGCAATGTGCTGTGTTCGGAGCACCCTGCCATCCAAAACTAGCCCTACTTTGAGTTGTCTGTTCCTTGCAAGTGCGGGGCCTCCTTTGCGTGCGGAGACGACCCAGAGCCTGCATACCCAGAAGCCCGTGCGACAAGACTGCACTTTCTATACATGGGCATCCGACCGGAAGGCAACCGCCCACGTTCGAGAGGGGCCATGGCTTCAGCGGACCTGCCGTGAAGGTGCAATTGGTCGGCGTGCCCTGTCTTAGCTTTATCACAGGCGGATGAATTCCAATCCAAGCCAAGGAGGCGCCGGACGAGGCATCGGAGTTGCATCAGCCTGGAGCTTTGCAATTATGATGCTTGTACGTCAGGTTTGTGCGGTACCTCTGCAGAATCACCTTTAGCCCGACAAGGATCTGGCGGGGCCTCACAGCATCCATCACTGCTCCATGCACACGCTTGCACAGCAAAAACTGGCTAAAAACCAAGCTCTCTGCTGATGCACCCCTGGCAAACACTCTTTGCTCTGCCGGGGCCATAGGCGGTGTAGGGAGGGAGTTTACCTGCATCGACTTTCAAGCACATGACCAACATTGGACCAATCCTATCTTGGCAGGCCATGGCAGGCCATGGCAGGCCCACCTCTGTAGGATGATCCACACCGTCTGGCTTCGTCTCCGATCTGACAGAAATGTAAGCTGGCGTTGCTACCCTCATGGGCCGTTTCAAGGACTCAAGGAGCACCTTACGTCGCAGCTGCTTGCGCACTCGGCCGAAGCTCCACCTGCTGCACCTTTGTGAACAGGCTCTCTGTAGGAGTTGGCCCCAAGACGAGCATCAGCATACTCTTGAGCCTGCATCCTGGTCAGGCTTCGTAGCCTCCAGATCTGTCTTCGCGTCGTACTGGCATGTTCAATCTACAGAATATGCAATTGATGCAATTGGTGGCATCTGGGCAGCAGATTATGGCATATTATGGCATGGCATCAGAGAGAAGATTGAGGCAGTATCTGAATCTTGACCTGAAAGCCCTTCCAGGTCTGGATGAACGTCAAATGTTGCTTTGCTTGCCATGCCTTGCCTACCCAGCGCATTGTAATTGATGAATTATCAGAACTGGTGCAGTATTTGTTGCAATCCTTCTCAGCTTCGAGACCTAGTCAATTTGGCAAGAGCCCTAGCTGGCCTAGCTGGCCCTAGCTATTGATTCATGGGGGTGGGGGAGCTTCATGAGGGCCTATGCCGCAGCACTTTTTCAGTCCTTGGCACGTTCAGGGGAACCAGGACCCGAAACTGGCGGTGTAGTGCCTCACGAGAACAAGCGCAAGAACAGCAAAGAGAACAGAGCAAAGCACACTTTTACACTTTTTTGAACCTTTTTTGAAACTTGACATCCTGAGCCCTTGACTCTCTGCTTGTGCCCACAGTGATAGGGGCATGAAGCGACCGCTAAACACCGAATTTCTGCGGTCCGTTGTTCCTCCTGTCGGGAATGGGAATACATGCAAGGTATATACTTGGTGAGCGAATCATGTGCCACTTGAGTGTGTTTCTTTGCTGTCCTGATGACACCTCTGGACTTACCAAGGTGGCCAAAGCCGCTCCTGCCAAAAAAAGAGAAGCATCTGCGACCGCATCCCAGTAGTTTTACAAATCCAGTTCCTCCAGCGCAATCCTCACCCCGATCGCTCCCGAGCCAGGACGTTAACTGCGATGCCTGCGCTGTATGCCTTGCTGTCAAAGTTTAACCGTCTGCCGGGTTGTTCCATGTGCTGGAATTAGACTTGAAGGCCCTGCCATCCCACGCTCGTCAGCTTGTTGGTTCCTTTGCTAAATGTTAACTTCCGGTTCGAAGCTCCACTCTGGAACATGAGGAAGGTTGCAACTCGAAGTGCTAGGTGGGAGGAAGCTGACACTTGAACCAACTCCGTGGTGCCAGCATGTGCCAGCTCTTATCTGTGTGAACTGTGTCACTGTGTCATCCCCAATGGTGGGGCACAAAGCTTCAGTCATGGCAGGGACTGTTAGGAAAAACTCAAGCCACGTGGCAAGCCCTGCATCTTGCAGCTTCTCCTCCGGTCGCAGTTGACACCCGCCCGGCAGCGGCCATTGCATGCCGTGCTCCGGCCGCAGCGCCTGGAAAAACGATAAGCTCCAAGTGAGTCGGAATGAGGCACATGAGGCACTCAGGAAGGAAAGGTGCCGACGTGCTGCGGCCGCTGCGGCTCCAGCAATCCTCCGCAGCTTTTGTGGATCTCAGTCTCTCTCAGTACACGTTGATACGTCGTGCAATCACCTGCTTGCCCTGCCTGCTTCTGGAAGGACCGGGGCTGACAGCCGGTACCGGTGTAACCGGTGTAACCGGAGCAGGAAGAGGTGTCACTGGCAGAGGCGTGGCAGGAGCAGCTGGAGGTGATGGCAAAGGCGTCATCTCCTCTCCACAAGAGCTGCCAACTTACTGCCAAATCTGCTTCTTACTTGGAGATGGACAAATGGCCTCGGAAGTCGGTGAAATCGCCTCATGAGCATCTGGCTCCTCGGCACTTGCCACAGCTTGCCCAGTTGCATTTGCCAACCTAACCTCACACTTCAGTTGACAATTCGAGGCCTTCGTGCAGGTCGGGGCCGTCGGAGGCCATGATGCCACCTCGGCTAGACAAATGAAAAAACTCGAACCTACTTGGCATGCTCCAAACGTTCTTTCTCCATATCTTTACTGAACGCAGCCTCCAGAGCGGCTAGTGCCTCTTCATCGCCTTGGATATGCCTTGTGTCGCCGCAAGTGCTCCAACTGCCTGTGTCAAATTGTAAATGTACAACGTCAGCCTGGAAGGAGGCAAGTCCTCACAACGCTTTTCTGGAGGCGAGGACCTCAAGCCACAACTGCATGGGAATATGCAACTCCTGTGACCCGCCAGCCTCTTCACCGGTTGATGTCGTCCTACTGGGTCCTGCGCTTGTGCTCAATACATTCCAATCACCGGGTCTTGCGTTCGCTACTTCACTTGCTCCTCGTCGACCAACTGAATCAGAACATCCTGCGGCCCAGAGACAGTGCGACTAGGTGTGGCGTGTTGCTTTCGTAGCTGTGAGTAACTTTCTTGATGTTATTTATGTTTTTAAGTGGTGATTTTCCTATCTTTGACCAGTGCCGCTCTCATCCTCGCAAGGGGTGCGCAAAAACGTTGCAGTGCAACTTCCGGGAAAAAGTCCCAGGTAAGAAAACACAAGCTCCCGTAAGAACAGTATAAAGCCGAATCTACGTATGCTGACTACCTTCAAAGACAAGTGGTAAGTCCTTCTCACAGGATTCGGAATTGCTTCGTTGAGCATCTACGCCTCCCTCGCCTGCCAATACGAGCAACTTCCAAACCCAACAGTTCACCGTTTTCCAAGTGCTTTCACTGATGTCACCAGGGTCAGCACCGGTCGGGCCAGAGTTGCTTTCACTGACTTTGTCCTGCAAGGAGAGAAGTGACGAAATTATGCGATGACTTGTGCCTTCTGGGGGTCGAAGCAAGCGAAGAGAAGAGAGATACCTCCGGAGGGGGTAGAGGGCCAGCGCCCGCGGCAGGTCGGTTTCTGCTCGGACTTTCCTGCGTTTCCACATGCTTCCACACGCTTGCACACGCTTCCACACACGCATTACCCTGTATCTCAGTTATCCCTCATCTGTCTCTCAACGAGCAGCTCTTCAACTCTAGCCACCTCTGGAGGGACGCTGGAGTCCCGCGTATCAACCCCAAGGATTTGAAGCTCCTCCAGCATCGTGGTTTCATAGGTTTCAGCACTGAAATGGTCACAAAGACCGGTGTGCGTGGCAGTGGATGCAGGTGGAAGCTCTCCGGCTCTCCTCCCCGTCGACCATGAAGACCAGATGCTTCTGCTTCGCTGTGGGCGACTTCGGTCTTGTCTGTAGGGCTGAAAGGGCCACTGGCTGGCTTATCAAGGTGCTAGAGCCTTGTTCTTCCACTTCCAGCAATGGTCTGAGGGGCTCTGACTTTACGCGAAGACCTCCGGGTCTGCTTCCAGCTGCCCCTCTGCTGGTTTCTTTCGGCGGCTGCGACAGCTCAGGACTTTGTGCGCTGTCACTCGGAGCTTCCTTCGATGCCCAAGTCCTTGGGGACTGCTCGTCGCTTTGGACGCCGGGCATGGATGTTGTTCTCTCTGGGTTTGCCTCTGCAGGCACCTGGACAGACCAGACTTCACGAGCCGCAATGCGCAATGCCGCAATGTCGCAACGTGTAGCCGTGCGCCCACTCATGACATGTTGCTGTGTGCACCAGTCGGCCTCTGGCGCTTCAGCCTTAGTCGGCGAAAGCAAGACTGCAGGAATACTGCGTGTTGTTGGCTGTTGTGGCTGAAGCCAAGTGCTGCACTCGCTGGCCCATCGAACCTGTCAGTCTACTTGCGCATGTCTTGGATCCGTTCACATCTTCCCGAAACGGATGTGCACAAGAAGTATTGCATCCCACCTGCATCAATCCTTGGCACGCAGCTGACAGGAAGAAGCCAGATGAAGCCACGTGAAGCCAAGCTTCAAAGGAATGACGACTTGAAAAGCCTTTTCTGGGATCTGAGGCCCAGTCTCAGAAGCCGGGGACTGGCTCGCCTCTGTGACCTCTGCTTCACGAGAACCGCCACTGTTCCGTGAACACGAGGCATACAACGTAAACTCCCCTTGAGCTGGCGGCACTCGCAACACCAGCTACTTCGTCATCATCTTCTTCCGCGGATTTTGTCCGCCCAGCGACCTGTAAGTGCAGTTATGAACACGTGCAATCGAAAAAATTTGACAAAGGTAACAATCCGAACATGTCACTCATGAAGCCCACACACTTCCTGGCCGCTTCTCGATCCCAGGCCGCGAGCCAAAGGAAAGACTTCAAACCAAGCCTTTCGTGAAAACCTTGCTCAACCATGCTAACCTGAGCTGCTATACCCCATATGTCTGTAGAATCTGACACGGCCTTAACTTTCACAGAAACGGACGCTGGATCGGGGTCCTGACGGCCACAAAGCGGCAAGGAGCGACAAGCCCCAACTGTCTCATTGGATCCGCATGGCTTACTTATACTTGACAGAAGCTTGTCACAGCATCCTGCGCATGATCGCTGTCGCCGGACACCTAGGAAGTCGCTAACATCCCTTCCACATGTCCGAGCTTGCCAAGCTTCACAAAGCTCACGAATACCTACAGGACTGCAGGACTCTGCTAGGGCACCTGGACCTCCATCGCAGAGGGAGAACGCTGCAGACTCGGTTTGACCCAGCATTTGCTAAAAAGCGTCCGAACAGGTGCCACTCACAACTCCAAAAAGCACAACTGCCACAATGTGTCATAATGATGTATACTGATTGCTGATGTCCTTAGCCACGGACATGCCAGATTCAGAGCGGGCCACTGACTGGCTTGGAAATGACTGCACCTCGTGCTGTTTCAAACTGCGGGGCATGTACGCGAGTGATATGAGACTTTTGCTGATCCTTCACTTGGGACGCTGCAGTTACCTCTCGCGGAAGAACGCCTTCCTTTGTGACAAGAAGTGTCTGTCTGTCTTCTGTTGCATTCTTGCATTATTCTGTTATGCTGTTATGCTGTAGCCGAGATAGTCGAGGATTGGGAATGCAAGTGTGCTTGGCTTTGGTTTGATGCTATGCTGGCGAGGGTGCGAGGCAAAGGTGTTGGAGAACTTGGCCTAATTTGGCCTAGGTATTAGCGGCCCATGTGCAGAAGTCTTCGTCACGGAGCTGCATGTGCTCACAACCATGCTGGACGTGGTAGTACTGTTTTCGTATGCTTGTTGGCGCAGACGTGCTGGACCGACCCAAACGAACATAAATACATGACGACCAAAGACCCCGCGCACCAATACAAATCGCAAGCCACGCAGATCCACTTCAACAACATTCACGAAGGTGAGCCTCCGTGCGGACAGATGCAGTTGCGGCAGCCTACCAGCAGCAAAAAGTTCTTGCTCAATTGACCCTGTCAGTGCAGTCAGCCATCCAACACCTCGTACGCAGCCAGTTTGCGGTAATCTTGCAAGAACCTGCCAAAGTCCATCGGCATTGTGTGCCGAGCACCGCATTTCCAAATTTACATCCGTCTCCCTGACACAGCCCCGTCCTGTCTACCAGGTCTGATTGACATTCATGCCGAAGAAATTCTTCTGGATTAAACTGCGGCTGGGGTAGAAGACTCAGTCAAACGATGCCAGCTCGGTCAGCGAATTCCATGTGGCAGCTCTCTCGAAATTTCTCGTGACAACCTGAGGTTTGCACTCGTCACCACCAACAGAAGCCGAGGAATGGTGAGATGGTGCGCTGCAGAAGCTACTCGAAGCAGGGAAAGATCCTGGTCAGAGCTTTTGCCCCATCTTCGCATGTTCTTTCCATGTTTCTGCATGCTTCTTGTCCGAGCCAGTCCTCTTTTGCCCTGCCGAGGTGAATGTCCTATCAAACGGACTGAAGCATGCCCAAATCAGATGAGTTCATGGGTTCAATTGATACTCTGTCCTGGGCTTGCTGGCTCTTCTTGGCCTTACAGCATCCACGGCACACCAACTCACCAGAAAGATAAGGACCGCGCTGCCTGTCGGTTGAAACCGTCGAGGGCAACAGCGCCACACAGAAAACTCCTATCCAAGCATGCGCATTTGACATGCTGCGCGAGGAGTCTGGAAGGCACCCGCCTCGGAATGGTCAGCGGGCGCCTCTTCATCTGGTGCAGGTCCAGACGGCCACCAATTCTTTTTTAGGTCCTGATAAATGGACCTGGACGTTGTTCGAAGCTTATGTGAGCAAGGCAGATAAAGAGCATACAAAGCCAGCTGAATGACTTGGAAACCGACCTCAAAGACTGGAATCTCCACTTCTGCGAACCAGCCTGTGATCCTGAGCCAAGTCATCCAATCAGAAGAATGACACGCGCAATCACGCTAAACTTCGGGCCTGAAGCATCATCATAAACCATCGGCAAGCCCTCACCACATCACATGTGACACCATTGGGGCTACATTGTGGCCTGGTCATCAAAAGGTTGTGAAGTCAAGTGATGCTGCTGGGACAACCGATGTCTGATAATTGCGTCTGAAGGGGCTGTGCTCCTAATGAGCTAGTATGAGCTCATATGAGTCAATGAGCATAGCATTGCGAGGATTTGCTAGATTTGCCATTCGAGGCGTCACCTTCCTTCGTTTGATCCGGCTAGCTCCTCTGTCTGGCCACGGCATCCACTCGTGTCATGTCTACACAAAAGTTTTAGATCACCACTCCAAAGCAGATTCCGTCACTTATGGAAGGTTTCACTCCACGGACTTCACTCTGCGAGGAGTTTGTGCGCAAAGGCCCAGCCCCCGAGAGCCACTTCTTTCAGTGACAGCGTTGCGAACCTGAATGCCCTCGCCATCATCCAAAAGCGCACCACCGCAGAGAAAGCCAGAAAGAACTGCGGCACTTCGCCATTTTAATCGGACACCTCCTGCAGACCCCGGGCCTGCCCAAAGTGTTACCTGATAGCTGTTGCAGCAGCCAGTGAACATGGGTCCCAAGCCCCCGCTGGTGCGTGCAGCCAAAACCATGAGCATCGTGAACATCAGGGCATCATTTGCGTGTCCGAAGGGGGACGAAGGCTCCTGTCCCACCGGAAAGCGCGCATGCCTACACGATCTCATGTCAGAGGCGACAGCAAATCCTGATTTTGAGTTAGGATGCCAGTCTCCCTGCAGTCTGCTTCCACTCAGTATTGCTTGTGACCATCATGATGCTGCTTTGCCTTCGTCCTCAACTCTGAGCCACACCCATCCCTGATACATCCTGTAAATTTTAAATAATCTCCACAACGATGTTCTCCAAGACAGTCCAGTGCATGTAAGATTTGCTGTTGGCAAAGGCTAGCCTAACAATGCACGCATGTCACTCTAGACAGAAGGCATCACTGGATACAACTCAAGCAATCTCAAGCAGGTTGCATGGCTGTTCAGAGCTCGTTCTCCACACGACATCTGTGTACATGCATGCATGAGGGACCAAGTCGTCGAGGCAAGGTCAATTAACACGCGTTGAATTGCGAGCTTGACAATATTTCCCATGGGGACATCTGTAGCAAGCTGCCCTCAGAAAGGGACTCAAACATTTGACAGACCTGGAAGCTACAGCTTCACAGTGGCCAGCATCAGTCCAAAGTGCGCCTTACTTGAGAGCGAAAGCGAGTTGACAACTCACAATCCTGCAGCAATCCCTTCATGGCCCACTTCATGGCAGTGATTTGTCGGATCGGCAAGAAGATGAGCCACTGACGGCTTGTGGACCTCAATCTGTACAGAAGCACCCATGCACGAGACCAAAAAAGCCAAAGCAAAGCAAAATGGATGAACAAAGATCACAGTAAACGTCCTAACGACAGCGCAGACAAAACAACTATGCAACAACAAGTTTGTCGTCGTTTACCTTTCTTGCTGGATCCTGAGGCGTTCGCCTCGGCAGCAGCCACCTGACAAAAGGACTGGCGATGGAAAGAGAGCGAGAAGCATCTTGATAGGAGCAGCACGTGCAGAGCCACGGCAGATGACAGCAAAGCCTATTCAGTAGCCAAAGAAAACAGGGAAAATTTTGCTCTCCCGTCGCCGCCTCGCTCTTGCAATGTCCGAGTCAGACCGAGTCAAAGCTATGTTGAAAGTGACAAGCGTTGCCGCGTGGCTTCTGAGCCATTGAGCGGTTCAACTTAAGTTTACTTGTGGTTGAGCGATTTCTGAGGTGTTTGTGACAGGTAGCCGGTAATGCGTCTGAATGCGTGGCATTTTCTGGACGGCAAGTTTTTGAGCGTCTGGTGCATCATGTCTGAAGAAACCTCGTGGTGTCTGAGTGTTCTCTCCACGGCTGGCGATGCCGAATGCAGAAAGGACAGTTCTCCAACTTGACATCTCCGCACCTTGAGAGCAGCACCCAGGCTGCGTACGGAGCCCTTGCCTTTGCCTTTGCCAATGGCAGGGCTCTCACAGAGAAAGAGCTCTCACAGAGAAAGTGCTCACCACACCCGATCTCAGATTGAGCAAACATTTTTGAGGGAGGCATGCCTCCGCCTTTGCCGACGCCCTGATGAACGCAAAGGCTCAAAGTCACAAAGTGCAAAGGCAACCGAAGCTCTCGAGCTGCTATGACTGTGCGAGTCCGCTTGCAGCCTTGCTTTCGTGAGCGGGAGCCGGCGTGGACTTCGGCTGCGCTGCCTCCGCTCCCACAAAAGGTTGCACAGTTGCACAACGCAAGAGCTGTCAGAATCTGTCAGAGCAATGCAGCCTGCGGCGGCGGCGCCCGCGGCACCTGTCCCATGCCGTTGGCGCTCTTCGGCCGCTCTGGCCGGCCCCTTTTCCTCGCACTGCCGGAGTGGCGCGAAACAGAACCCTTTGCAGTTTGCCCCACGCTTTCGCAAGAAGCCGACCATGCCTTGCCTTGCTCTTTGATTGTGGCATGAACCACAAAACCAATCCTCACCAAAGAGAGAAGCAGGGCTCGCATGGGCTCGCACTACTTCTCCCATGATGGTAAACTGCTCTCAATTCTTCTCGAGCCACTCCCTGGAGCACTTAAGAATTTTCATAAGCGCAGCACCCCTTCAGGGACGGACTTCAGCGGCGGCTTACAACAACCTCGGGGGCGCACGGGTTGCTCAATTACCAAGCGATGCCAACACGCAGCCAAGGTTCGTCCAAACATAGATAAACACAATCATACCTTTTTCTTCTTCATCTATGCTATACTTTGCATGATTTGGGATCGGGAAGTCGGATTTTCATCCTGGGCGCTCCTCCAACAATTTGAAAGGCAAGTCAACAGAAAATAATTACATGTTGTGTCGCAGTCATAATCCTGTCAGCTGAGGTCGCATCTGAGGTGAGTTGCTATCTCGCAGCCGGGCCACATAGCATCACACCTACACTTCTGGGCAGCTGTAAACAGAAGCTCGGTCGCGTGACGCACCGCAGCTCCAAGGCTACCACAGCAGCAACTCTTCCTCAAGGCTTTAGAGCACTCCAAGCTCAGCTCAAAAAGAGCAAAAGAACGGACATTTGCAGAGTCTCATGATTCAGAGCACCGCTCAGCTATTAAAATACTCGGCTTAGGTCCGCTGGTCCAACTTCTCCGCAGACCGAGCACTTGATCCTGCCAGGTCTACCATCGCCAGATCTTCCACAGTCATAGTGGATTATTGAATTTTTGCACATAAATTCTGTTCAGTTCTGCACGATTTCACAGCACTTCAAAGTGCGAATGCTAGCTCTGGTTGATACAAATCATGACACAGCCAGAGAGGCTACCTCCCGTGGTCTTCCATGTACTGGCACCCCACACAGTACCAGTCCTTGGGTTATCGCACAATCTCCAAGCTTGCTTGATGCAAGAATGCTCATGCGCTCAGTTCGTCACGCCGGCAGGCACACTTCGCAGGGGTGGATCACAGCAGCCTTGCCAGGCCGTCACATGCTACCCGACGACACCAGACAACACCAGATGCCAGTCTCCACTCAAGCATACTCAAGCACCCACCGAGCGCTCACAGCATGCTGCAAAGGCCAGGGCCCAAGTGTGTACTTTTGCGGCAGATAGGCCCACTCCCATCACACCTTACCAAAGTGCTGTGAGTCTTGCCTTGACACGTCTTGCTGAGGCGAAGTGGGATAGCCGCTTCGTCAGAATGTTTGCAGCAGTAGTAGAGAACAACAAATCGATAGCCACTCTGTACTCTGTGTCTAAGTCAAGCACAGCAGAAGCTGGTCCTCGGGCAAAGAAAAACGCACCAGACCACTTGATCGCTCACATGGCGCTACTTGTCATTCGGCAAGCTGAGCTCCAAGCCGGCCTGTCTGACAGGCCACAAACAGAACAAGTTAACCTCGAATGTTTGAACGTTTGATAACGTTTGCATATTGGAATGTTTGGGACTTCCCTTGCACTGCTCTGGTGTCTGGTGACGCTCGTGGGATTCTCATGGGCGCAGCACTCAGGTCCGCACTTTGTCGCACCTTCTGTTCGCGGTGGGTCTGGGGAATCCTGCTTTACCATGCAAGCACGAAACGGCACGAAAGGCGATAAAGAAATCACATTAGCTTGAGATGGCGAATAGAAAAAATCACACTTCCGGCGAAAACATACACAGAACGATGTTGAAACTAGGTCCGGATGGATCAATGCCTTGACACCGGCACCGCAAAATAACATACAGATAATACGTCAACTGTAACATTGTTCCACACGCTTCGGTCCCCTTGCTGCTAGCCTCCTGTCGAGATCTGGCACTTTGTCGACCTTGTTTCGTCTCCTTTGTAGCAAGGATGACTTGCAATAAGACGAAGACTTGCGAACATCCGAACATCCAGTTCCACGCAAGCAGACAAGTCCTTGCCAGAACGCATAGTCTCTTGCGCACCCTTGGCGTTTGCTGGAGGTGCTTGCGGTGGGTCCTTCACAGTCACATGCTGGTCGCATAATGTCACATGCTACCACATCCTGCCCGCACTGCTTGCACACGATTCTGCTCTTGTCACAGCGTTTCTTAACTCAGCACCTGCCGTCGCGCGGGCTTGCTGGGTCTCGATGCTTCAGCAGGCCGGTCGTCGAGAATCTCCCGCTTCACCTGCAGGTACTATAGACTATAGAGGGGCGTACACGTCTTTCGTACAATCTCATCAAGATGCATCCAAATGGCCACTCCTCATGGCAGGAAAACCAAAGCTCCGTGTAGCGCCTTGATCTCTGGTGGCCCTGGACGTGGCGGCGCAGGCTCCGTCATCGCCAACGGAGCCTGATATCGTCCCATCAGAGCCACGATTAGATGTGCCACTTAAGTTGTCCCTCTCAGCCAGTGATGTGCCAACTTGCAACATTAAGACTTCAATAACGTTTGAGGTTACAGATCTGTCCGAGTGAGAGGCTGTCGAGGCTGGCACGGGCTTGTGGCTGGGCTGCGTGTCATCGTCA